TTGCTGAAAACATTGATTATTTATTCTGAAATTTCACCTTTTACATATACAAAATGGTAGTAGGTTATACTATTTTTCTATACAAAATAATATAATATGATTAAATTCCATAATAGTATGTTTAAGTCAGGAAACAGGGAGGCCAGCTTCCACAAGTCAGATTATCCAAATTTTAGTTGCTATAATATTTGCAAATATCACAAGAAAAAAAGAAATGTTTTCACAGCCACACTTTGTTGTGACAGACTTGTACGTCTTTATAAAGGAATATTTTTTACGAAAAACAATGTTCGTTTCTACCCTCATACTGTGTGACTTACATTATCATTGACGTAAAAAATTAAAACACAATTCACATATAAAAGTAATACTACCAAAGTCACAAATAAAATTAATGATATTTTTACCCATTATATCATAGGACATTGATTATCATTTTAGGCAAGGTAAAAATATATTAGAGATGGGAGAGGTCAGAGATGGGAGTTTATTGTTATACATTACAAATACTAAATGTAACACACAGTATCCATGCATCAATCTGAGATAGTGAATAAAACCAAAGAAACTAGATAATCCATGAATGCACATCTATGGCGAACGTCAAAAAGATAACAATGTCGTCAACTGGAGAGTCAATTTTCTTTATGTAAGCATGCAGTTCTCCATGCTGCACTTGAGGTGGTTTATGTGACCTGATTTTAAAAACATGCAATATCAAATATGTTTTAACATGCTATCGTCGTAGGTATTACTGTTCATTTGTTTTTGCTTAGACATGTAATTATTTGAAAATCATTTAATAAATATATATCATAATTAAACTTTTCTCAGATTTATTATGTGTGTTTTGCAACTGTCTTTAAATATTCAGATTTATCTTACACAAATTTGATATAATTTTAAAAGAGATTCACAGAAAATACCGTTGCACATTCACTCTTTTGTGTCTATGATTGATAAAACTATGGAAGACACAAATATTCTAAATTTGAATCAATTGGTTGACTGAATTGAAAATAAATACATCATGTCAAATGGAAACTACCAAAAACTTGTGATCCACTTATATAATAACAATCCTGGAGGAGACAATTCAGTTTTACTGCAATGGGAAGAATACGATTGACACGGTAAAAGTAGTAGAAGCCAAACTGTAAGGAAGTTTCATATAATTTCTACTGAAAGACATCGGCAGTGGAGGATAACCCTGGCGGCAGCTCGGCATGCCAGATACCCCATGTCAGTTGGACTAACATTTCACTACATACCAAATGATGCAGCTATACTATATAATATATTTACAAATATTTATAGTTATATCAAAATTCTGTAATTTAAATTATATAAAATGCAGATATAAGTTATTATAATTCAGAAGTATGTTTTAGTACACAAATGAACTAATATGACGATTAACCAAAATTAACTAGAATATTGATACATGAATAAGATTAAGTTGATTTACAAATATACATTCAAATTAACTTATAAATTATTCATCTCCACTCATTATTATAATAATACAATTTTTTTTGTCATTTAGACAACAGTTTCAATGAGTTGATGGAAGTCTTTCCTGATAAAATTTCTGTTAAGTTGTAAGCTGTTGTCCGGTTGAATATATATATGTTGTTTAAGTGAAAGTTGCCCATCTGTTTCTTCATTATTGTTTTGATATATAACGCTGTTTTCCATCAGTGGGTTTCGTTCCTCTGAGCTATACTGCGAATTGAGATCATTAGCACTGTGTCCAAGGCAACGTGATAAAGTGCCGCTGTCACCAGAACTGCTGTCACTCCCTATTATAAATTTTAATGAGTCAGGTGTTGCCGTCTCTTCTTCACCACTATCAGTGTCTGTCACGTCGAGGTGGTGGCAGGTGTCAGCAGAGCTGCCTGATGAAGAGAATACATAATAATCTTTGTTTTCATCTAAATTGAAATCAAGGTATGGTGTATTCTGTTCCAGGAGGTCTTCCAGTTGTTTTCTGAGGTCAGTAAAGGTTGGTCTTTCGGCTGTTTTTTCTCGCCAGCATATCAACATAATTTCATAGCTGAAATTGAATCAATACAAACAGACAATCAATAGAGAACTAGACAAAAATTGATAAAACTAAAGAAAGTCACATCAACTGTGCCTTTAAGATGGCTCAGTTATATTTGAAAGTTATATATGGTATGATGTTGATACCTAATATCAATAGAAAACACATTTACAGCTCTGAGCAAGAGTAGTAGAAAAGAACAAAATTTTCTTATAATTTATACTAAAATTATATTTATACTAGCAACATAACCATAGGAGACCATCTTTAAAGTCAAGGACATTGGCAAAAACAAAATTGCACACCGTTATGGTCAGCCAGAAAGATAAGTATGCCTTTTGGTAAACAATCAAAAACTTTTGAATAAGCTGTTGAAGATAAATTAAAATGCATCACTAAAATTCATTAAAAATAATCAGTAAACAAATCAGAGAATAAGCTACCCAGAATAAATTTCAGATAAGACAGTTCAAGTTGGTGATATGGGAATTCAATATGGGATATAGATGGGCGTCAACGACAACCGGTCATACCAGAAGACCTGCGTCATCAGACGGCAGGAGCTAAAAATGTTAACATATTATTTTCAATTGAGATATGCCCATATGATGTTAGTGTATATCAGCTGTTGATTCACTATCTCAAACCGACAAAGATATGATAATCTGTGCAAGCTAGTACACAATTTGAAATGCTGTTGGCTATGTATATGGGTGTTAGTCATAACAGGTTACAGGATAAATCTTTAGTCACATCCAATAAGTTGATGGAGTGGTTATAAAAAAAACAGCCAATACTCGTCTTATACAGGCTTAACCTTATACACTGTTTATTTGAATGCTCAATGCTAAGTGTGTGTGACTTCACACGGGAGCCAAGTAAAAATGCTGATGACGCAGACCTGGCATTGTAATTTCATAAAAGGTTGAGTAAACGGAAAGTGTTTTATTGGCAACATCAGCGCTTTAAGTTGACTTGTTTGCACAACAGGATCATTAGAGTTGAATGAGAAAGGATTGGATGCCAAACACAAACTACTATGGTATAAACCAGAACACCACATTGTAACATATGACAGGAAACATTAATGGAAACACATGAGACAGCGTGTACGGAAAATGTCAAGACAAATATCCTATAATGGTAGCTACAAAACATTGACATCAAAAATATAACATGTCCTATTTGTGATAGAAATGAATTTTGATTATTTACAAAAAAAAATATATATGTAAGTTCACTTTATATAAGTTCAAGTTTATTAGTGATGGAAAATCACTAGTATTAAAGTTGTCATGGTGACAAAGCATAACAGTTCTTTAGAATTTACTATGTTGAAATGATTAAGAAAATAAAAATAGAGGTAGGTACATGAAAAAAAGAGAAATCAACATTTTCCTCAAAAATGTCATCATCATCACAGAAAAAAGATTCCCCAATTATGACCCTCTCTTTTCTAACAGCATCCAACTGGGAGAACAAAGCAATAACACACATGAATGACATCAGGAAGGAACATGCAATTTTTGTTATAACAGTGCTGTGATTAGTTTTTTGAGTGCAATAAGTACTGCTATTAAAAATCAACATGCATTCATTGACAGTTTGTATAGCTAGCTGGGAATGCATTCATACCTTGCATCATGTCATCGTTTGTTAATTAAAATGTATGATGAATTATTTCCATAGTGTGTACGGTTATTACTTAACTTACAGGTTATCTGAGCAGTTGTCAGGTTTCTCCATTCGATAACCACGTTTTAATAAATTGACTACATCTTGGTTTGATATTCCAGGATAAGGACATCCGCCTAGTGTAACCAGCTCAAATAACACCACACCAAATGACCAGCTGCAACAAAAGTCGAAGAGAATCAGATAAAGCCCAGGTTTTTCAAGTGCCGAATTACCATTGATCAAACTGTTAAATTAAATAGTATAAAAAAGTGTATTCTAAACACAACACAAATATACAATAAATGCAACAAATTTTTGAATTTTGAAAATTTGCAAAATTGCATTCGCACAGAAAAGACTTCAGTTTGAATAGACTTAAACTTACAATAAACAAAACCTCTTTTAAGTATATAGCTGAAAATATTTGAGTAAATTTTCAGTTTTTACTTGAAAAATGTGTCTTTTTTTTGTCCCAATTGTCTGAAGGAAAGGCAGACTATAAACGAGACTATTTTGTGAATTTGTGATGAAAAGAGGGAACTGGTGGTGAAACGGTTAAAAGTAGAGTAAGATTTTTTTTAAAGATTTTACGTATAAAATTGTAGCATGAGTATTTAAGACATAATAAAGGTTCAAAGAATTAATGTGTCTTTTACTTGAGGACCTCCAGCAGCGAGTATACACTTTATAAAGAATGTTCAAACGACCTACTATGTCACTTCCAATAAACGAACAGCATTTTAAAAATCTTTATAGACCAGATATGGATTTAGACAGTCGGCCGGAAGTAAAGGGCAAGCTAAGTAATAACCTTATGTCTAGCGAAGTCTTAACGCAGTGCAAGCACGTTTAAGAGAAGCGCTTTATTCATAACTAAAATCGTTCAAGTGGTATGTATACCACAGGGTGGAGTCACCGAATAACTTGTAATCCTAGTTGGTATCATCAATGTGACTGTTATTCAGTGTGATAGTAGCAGAATGTCAATAAAATGTCCAAAGTCCAAATAAGATTCTATTTTTATTTGAAATTCATATCTGTAAGTGCTACAAAGTGAATAGCATGAAGTGAATAATATATTGCTCCCACTGGAGAATTCAATCTTTGTATCAAGATACCAACTGGTCTGGTATTACCCTCACAGTATTATTCCTCACATATGCAGATCTGTTGATATGATAAAAAGAGTGCTGTCATTGCTGGCATGCTGGTGAAAACTAACCCCATCAATGCAATCATCACATCTAGCAATGCAGTTCATCTATGTAACATACAATTTCTAAATAAGACACATATGCACACAAAGCAATCACAGATCTACATACAAGTCAACAATCAGGTAACAGTGAAACAGACTTACATGTCGCTCTGAGTTGTAAATACTTGATCAAATATAGCTTCAACAGACATCCACTTTATAGGTAATTTTCCGCCCTTTTTATTATGATATATCTTATCATCATAGATGTACCGAGTCAGTCCAAAATCTCCAATTTTCACTGTTTTGTGGTCAGATACCAAGACATTCCTTGCAGCTAAGTCTCTGTGAACAAAACCTTTCTGAGAGAGAAACTCCTTCAGAAAGAGACACATTTCATCATAAATTATTTAATTTTTTGATTGAAAACCATAATTAAAAAAACATATTGCAAATATTGTGCAGTGTTTTTTTTTTTTTTAAATGATGGCAAAAAAAAAAGGTGACAAAAGTTGACTTTGGCATTGAACTTGTTGCAAGTGTTATAAAAAATATTTCAGGGTTCAAGCCACAAATAGATTATAGGGTCTGTATTGCGGAGCTATATTAATAGTATTAGAAATCTAGGTGCTAAAAACCCTGTCTAGATATCACTCTGGTGTTCTTATAACCCTTTGAACATTGTAATTTATCACACCAACAATTTGCACATTATTACCAAAATGTACTGTTTTATAACAGCTTTGTTAAATAGACATAATTTCTCATGTTCCTATATTGCGTTTCCAATAGAGCAAAGTAGCACTAATATGTATATGCAATAAAATGTTGATATAATGTTGATGCACTAGGTTGATCCAATATGTTGATGCACTAGGTTGATCCAATATGTTGATGCACTAGGTTGATCCAATACGTTGATGCACTAGGTTGAT